GCAGCACGATCTCTTCGCTCAGAGCTAATGCCACTCAGACACAAATGCTAAAACACACCGACGCAGACACACAAGCACACAGACCAAGAGACGCACAAATGCACTGGAATTTCCCATGTGGGATTTAGTCAGATTCACTGACTCACCACCACACCCGGTCTCGGCCGACTCGTCTCCAAAAGCAGAATGCCAGAATGCGGTAGTTACATGTGTGTGTGTGTGTGCATGTGTGTGTGTCCTCGGGCTGAGTGGGCGATTGGTGGAGATGAGTCGACGCGGAGCCTGAGGGCAGATACCAAGAAAGGGGATGAGGATGCTCAGAGTGCCGCCTCCGAATGAAGATATCACAGAATCTACTACGCGACTGTGTGAGGTCCGTTGAGAGGCGCCGAGTTCGAGTCCCGTGGAGGTCCGGTCGAGCTGGTGGGACACGTGCCGGTCGAGGCGGGAGTTAATCTGGTACTAGAGCCCACCGTAGAGGCCGGCTCAAGATAGAACACGTTACACGTGTGCTCTTCTTTCTAATTGCCATCCTGCATGGTTCGCCGAATCTCTCTCTCTCTCCCTCTTTCTCTCTCTCTCTCGACCTTCCGGCTCTTATTTCTGCCCACACACTTTTGCGACTTCGAACAGTCTCCCGTTCATTTATGCCAATTCCGGCCGGCATGAAGCAGACTTCCCTTCGTCCTCTAATCGCACCTGGTGTCAGAGGCAAAAACGAACAATTTATTCTTTATTTCCCCCAACCTTCCCACCAAGTACACCCCTCGTACCCGCGTCTTCTCCCTCTGCCCCATTTGGGACCTGCCTCAAGTGCAGCCTCCTCAAGCAGGCCTGCATGTATGCAGGCCTGTAGGCAGGCGGGCAGACAAACACAGACGCCTGCTCAAGGATAGAAATTAGGTCGTCTTCGTGGACAACATGTGACCGAAGAGGCCGACGGCCAGCCGGGCTGTATCAACAAGCCGGCCGACAGACTGTGGCTAATGGGCTGGTGGTAATGCACGGGTCGGCAAACGTTAAAATGCTATCAAGCTGGCACCAACACGAGTCCGGAAACGACCCGAAGCCTTGCAGGTCCCGCATCTTCAGCCGTGGGCTCTCAACGCGCCGGAGACCAGCATATCCACGCCTCGACTGCATGAAGCCCGCCACCGGACTCTTAGCGACGCGGTTGAGCAGACCGGTTTCGTCAGACCGCCAGTCTAACGTCAAGTTGGACATACACTCCGGCAGGGACGAGTCTGTCGTCGCCAAGGCCTTGATGAATAGGAGCGTGAGGCGGTGGTCTGGGTCGATTAGACAATCATTGTTGTATCCTCCCACAAGTTCATGTTCATGCTCTCGTTCGGGCAGTACTGATAGTCTCGAAATATATCAATTTAGGGCCTATCAAGATAAGCCTGGTACAAATATTTATGAGGCAGTACCTTGCAGCTCTGGAAGGAAATAGAAAATCAGCCCTACCAGGAGCCGAATGAGGATTGCTTAAGATGAACGACATTTTCGCACAGGTCTACGTCATCATCTCTAAGACAATCCGTGAGGATAAACTTGATTTCGAAGAATCTCTAACTTGATTGAGGTTGAAAGTATGAAGACCAAGATGGTGTGGTCTCTTTTTATGGTCGCAGTCTCCTTCCATTGTATAGAAATTGTTTGACCTTGTTTTCGCAACTTGGTCATATTGGTAGGAAGACTTAGAGGAACTCCGTCTTGCTCCGTCTTATTATCCCATAGCTAAGCGATTTCTTGTCACACCTCTGGAAATCATCCAAAGTTAGAACCCCACCTGAATACTTCCTTAATCTAGACTTGAGATTTATGAACTTAAATAGCTTACGCCTCTCAGTCTTGTAACTTTTCTCTAATTTCTTAATGGAGGCGTAATAAACTATTTCATTAACTGTGTCCGAATGATACTTCTTCATTAAATTGCAGAATCGGAGTGCAATACCATAATGTTAGCAACAATTCAAACAACAATTGATTGAGGTTGGTTTACCTTTAAATTAATTTGGTAAAAAGCATGGAAGACATTCAACTATTAGCTCAACCGAAAAGCCAAGAAAAAGATTACTTTGGCTGGTGGCGTACATTCTAGTTCGTCTGATGAAGCGAATGGGAGGCAGTCGGGAATCGGCCTCACCCGAAGAGAAAAGAGGACTTCCTCGGAATTGTGACAAAATATTTCTGTGGATGAGTTCTCGGCGCACCATCCCATCCAATCACCACGCAGCTACTCTTCAAACATTGTTTTGGAGTTGTTAGCATAGATTTGTTCTATGAAAGTCTTGACGACTTGTCACGCGACCCCGATGACTCCGTCAAAGGAGGATGAGCTGAAGACTTATTTGCACGAATTTAAATTGATTCAGGACATGAATACTACTATTCGAAATAAGTAGACGTCGAGATTATCAGTTGTTCTTTAACAAAAGCATTGTCACCCTAAGTCCCTAAGAATGACTTAAAGACTGGAATGCAGTTTTTCCATTAAATTTAATTTAGCTTTGCCTTTCAAAACGTCTTCTCGTGCAGCCTCAACTGGATCGCAGTTTTGACTAAGCCTATATCCTACCAGCATTCCCAAGAGGCTTCAAAACTGGCTCATATTGGCACGACCAATTAAATTGCGATTTAGAAAGGACCTTGTTTGCCACATGTAACATGCAACACAAAGCAAGCTGAAGTGAGGTGAAATGTGTTGACACCATTAGGCCTAGAACATTTGCTATGCGAAATTCATATATCGGACATACATCATTATAGGCGATTTAGAGGGTTTAAAGTTATTACCTAGATCCTGTTAACTAGGCTTTTTCATACTACAAAGAGTGTTTTGGAGACTTTCATATGAAATGAAAGTTCCACCCCCCCTCAGCAATGTTGCCTCAGAAGATACATCGAAGCCCAGTATCTCGTCGTAGTTACAAAGATTGATCAGGACCATCGGTAAGCAACCTCTAGTTTCAACGATAAGGGAATGTGCCCATGAAGAGGACCTTATTGTTGACTTAAAGCCATCAAAATTGGCCGGATTACTTTTTTGCTAATCTGACTCTATTGTTGGGGAGACTTAAATGTTTATGAAAGGGCGCTAAAAAGATATTCGAAGGTCGATTTCATCCGAAACGAGGAAGGGTGTCTCGAAAACTGTGTCCACCAGAAGGTCACATCAAAGCAATACTTCTGCAATACATCTGGAATTGGCTGTCATCTTCTGATGAGATTTACCTTCGAATCTCTTCTTTATTCACTTTTATACGAAATGAAAGTCTCCCCAACACTGTTAGCTCAGGAGACGCGTCGGAGCCAAGTTAATCTTCGTATGCACAATCTGATTAGGACTCGAGGCTAAACTACAACTAGACCCAAACTAGTGAACCCAAGTGACCTATTTCTATGGCCTCCCAGTCTGAGGTTGTTGGCCTCTGTGGTGGTTACAGGATTCGAGCCTGGACTGAGCCATTCTGAATTTACCGACATGCTTCCGGTCCCCTAGTGATGCACTATAGATAGTGCGCAGATAAGTAGATAGCGAGAGATAGGTCTGCTTTATCCTAAAAGTCATCTAATTTAATGGAGGACTAGGCTTATGCGGCCTAGCAGGTAATGTTTCCATTCATGGTTCTAATCTTGCTAAAACTGAGGGGGAGACGAAGACCTCTGGCCTAC